AGACACTGTACTAAAATGAAATATCATATCCAAAATGAAACATCCTTTCCAGTTATCCTTTCAGCCCACTTTTAGTTTCCTTTTGAGTCCCAGCATAGCTGACACTGTTTGGCAGTTTAAGAATTGAACTGTCAAACTGCACTGAGCAGTCCAACTATTGGGCAGGCGAACTCCTCAGTTTGTAATACCTACATTTCAAGCTTGCAGCTGCCTTCCTTGCTAGCAGAGCTTTTCATATCCAAAGGGCACGAGTACAACTGATCACTATCTCCCAAACAAGTCTGTCTCCTTTTTCTTTCTCCCTTTCCCAACTTCCCTTTTCCGGGCTAAGCAAAACATTTTCCAGCCTTTCCTCGGTAGACATAGTCCCTTCTAGTTCTCCTCTGCGGTTTTCCAGTTTGTTTGGATAAATGAGACACATTATGCCACATATGACCCTAAAAGAGTGGGACGAAATATTTACCTAAGGAAACTATACTACCGCTAAAGTATCTCAAACTATTTGCCTTTTTACAGCAACTTAGTTCGTATTTGTGCCTTTCTGATTTCTGAATAGAGTTCAGCTGCACTCTAGTGGCTATATTCTAGGATTTCAGGCATTTCATAACTGCCTAAACTCCATTTTCCCACCTACTCATACTAGTACAATTCACTCACAGTGAAAGCTATATTTCTTCAATTATGTACATTTTTTTCCATGCAGAAAAATTATTGCTGAGGCTGGAGCTCAGAAACAGTATGCAGAATTTTTCTATGAAATAGTATTTGAAGCCTGTATCTCAGATATAGATTCAGTCAAACCTTTTATTTCAGATGCAGGTAGGCTGGTAAGCATCTACCTCAACTGCTATTCTTAGGAAGGTGGCATAACCATAACCTAGTTTTTAACCCAAGTACCAAACTGGTACAGTGTCAGCTAATCAGTGTGCCATGCCTCTGCTTTAAAATAGTGGTCCCTACTCACTGGTGTTCTCTGCGGGCTAGCCGCTAGGTGGTGAGGCAGGTTTGTAATTAGAATCCAGCCAAAGAGGTTTTTGTTAACTTTTGAAAAACTTGGTTCTGCATCTTCTATTACTGCACAGACATTGCAAAATGAAGGTTAACATTTGACTGCAAGATTGAAGGGAATAATGGATAAGGACATTTAAGGAGTGGAAAGTGTGGCTTAGTGATTATTAAAGACAGTAAGGAATATACAACATTACTAGGAAGATATTTAAATGGCATAAAAATGAAAACATTCTTACCATGTTGTATAGGCATGTATACAACTCAGAATGAGAGGATGCAATGATAAAAGAAAACGTAGGTTGGCAATAATAAATAGTCCCAAGATGAAAAGAAAAAAATTATTGCCTGAGACTTTGAAAAACAATACTGGCCAGGACTACAGAAAAACATGTCATCGAAATCCACTTTGCTTTGGGCTGGAGATGAACATGAAGACCACATTCATATGAAATTTGAACTTTTTTTGCTTGGCTCTAGAAAAATTGACCTGGCAACTGTTTATTTTTTGCAGAAAAATAAACCACTCTGAAAGCTGTTCTAAGTAAGCCCTTGATTCCACTTTGAGCAGGGTGCTAGGGGACAGAAGAGATGAGAGGACATGGAAAGTACTGAGGCCCTCTGAACACAGCAGAATGTGGGCAACGTGAATTTCCCTCCTACTTTACCTGAAAGGGCTAGGCTCTCAGATTTCAAATACTGCTTAGCAGACCATTGCTACATCTGAAAAAACTGTTCCGCTGGCAGCTGTTATTAGAAGAGGCATATTTCTTTATGCCAAGGTTGTGTCACTGCAGGTATTGACTTTAAAAGACCTAATTCTTTCAAAAGGGAAAAAAAGGTCACAGTGAAATAGGTATGAAACTGGTAACAGTTGTAACATGAATGTTCTCCTCAGAATTTGGAAATCTAGGAGAAATTTGGAAATCTGAATCTAAATCCATTTCATGGAAGATTGCCATCTGATGTCTATAACAAATTCTATTACAGAAGAGATGTGTATTGTCCTGCAAACTCATTCTGTCTTCACTTCCGTCCTCACTTGCAACATAAGATGGGACTACTAAGATCTAAAAGCATGTGATCATTCCCTCTCATGAAAAACACAATAGCAGGATCTAAGCAGAAAGTGAGGATTGCCACCTCTGAAATGTTTTCAGTTATCAATCGAATTCCTGTATGTAGCTTGTCAAACTTGGCTTTCTTCTACAAGAGCTCTCTGTGGCCTTGTATGTTGGTTGTGGTTCACCCAACCACCCTGCAGTCATTCCATCTTCCTCCATAAAAATTGGATGTTATTGCTTCCCTAACATCCTTCTTTACCCTCCTACCCAAATCTGACTAGAGATTAGACATGGGCTTTCCTAAACTTGGACATTCAACTTTTTCAATTTCCCCTCTTGGCAGCCATCACAGTGTTGGGAGTTGCCTCTCTATGAGCAGAAGACGCTGCAGCAACAGGGGCACTGCGAGAAAGTGCTGATTCTAGATGCAATAACTGTGGCTCTGAAGAGAGAGAGAGAAGCAATAAACAAGTGGGGAAATGCCAGAAAAGTAAACACGGGAAAAACTGAAAGAGAAAGGCAATTATGTCCTTTTCTTTTTTCCAGGACCAAGATTTCCCTTTGTTGAATATAGATTTGCCAAATTACATTTCTGGGCCACAAAGAAAGACATTTAAAGCATTTTTCATAACAACAACTCTATGCAGTTCAGTTGGGATTGGAGGATGTGACTCACGTGTGGTTATCTGTGAGCTGAGTAACATTTTCCGCACTAAAATGCATACATAGGTTAGCGATGCAATTCAAAATTGTTACACTAATGTAGCAGTATAGCTAAAAATTCAAATGCAGAAAACTCAAAGTTATGTTTTCTCAGCAACCCTGACACGGCCACCACATCCTATGCCTTTATCAAATTACAAAAAAAATGGTTCTAGACAAAGAGAAAGCTCAAGTCAGTGTGAGCTGGGATTTTGTAAAACGCATGCAATAAGCATGTACCTACAAAATATTTACAGTGACACACAACATAAAACAAAAGATCATCCATCATGGGATCCAAGCAAATAATAATGATGACTTCAATGTGTTAAGACTTTCTGTGTTAGTGGCTCTCTAAAATAGTAGATAGACTTTAAAGGTGACCGACTTTCTCTTTGAACATATAACAATGTCAGACTAAACTTTAATTTAGCTAATAATTTTTATATTACTGTAAGTAAAGAATAATACCATTGAAATTGGAGTTGTTACATTAGATTTACCTTGGGATAGAAATTTGATTCCAGAGCCACGTGGAATGTACTGAAAAACTGTAATTGCACGAACAGTCAGAAATTACAGCATGGTCTTCTTCACGTGTCTGTACTGGAAGAAACCGTTTCTTTGTTGAAAGACCTCATGGTGCCCGGTGGGGAGTTAGAGATAGATGTCATGTAACCTCCTCTTTACTGCTGCTGCTGATACACCATCAAAACAACTTTTCCTTTGGGGTTCCTTTGTCACATGTTCATTTAGTCTTATTTCCTCCTTAGACCTAGATTTAAAATGAAGAGGTGATGATGTTTCTGCGATACTGTCAGTATATGCTTCAGATGGTTTATACAGGCCAGTGCAAATAAGAACCAATAAAACTTAGCTCTACCATGTATTTGCTAAGTTCTATGCTGTGTTTAGAACAGCTGTTACAGCAGTTTAGTTTTAGAGAATTTTAAATACCTTGCTGCCATCATTTCCCAAAATGTTTCTCTAAAAAAGCAAGCTACATTAAATCAAATGAAGACTATACATTTCAAAAGGAAAATTCTCATGCATAATACTACAGAGACTGCTATCTCAACTAGAGCTGTATGCAATAAACTTGTGAATTTGCGGCCCAATGTCAGAAGGTCTTCAATGACTAGAAAGAGCAAGAGTGAGGCATTTCATTAGAAAGAAGAGAAACTTTCCTTTCCAGTGCTTCAGAACTATGATCTATTCTTTCTAATATAGAAAGTTCACAAAATACCACCTTCTGTCCTCTCCACTGGAGCAGATGCGGACCGTGACCCCAAGCATGCACACCAGTACAACCTGGGGAGGAAGCTCCATATCAAGAAAAGTGAGAATGAACACGCCAGGTCTTTTTAAAAAAACAGGTGACTTTTGAATTACTCGATGTACTCTCACCAAAGGGTCTCACTGAATGGATGGTGCAGGAATTGGCTATACATGACAGATGCTGTTTGTCATGTACCTGCGGTAATATTATGGTTCTGTGGATTCTTTTTCAGACATATAACAATGCTCATTAGAGGCAGCTAAGAAATGGAGCTAGAGGGAGAAAGAATGGCAATATAGTCATTTTTTATACGTTTGTCTTTTAATTTCACTGAGAGATAGTCATCACCCTAAATTTGAAAGACTGAACAAATGATGACTGTATTCACACTCCTAAATCATTCATACCTTCTTATGTTCAACGTCAACAAGAACCTTTTATTTTCTGTATGTAATATAAAGTAGCATACTGCTATGCACATATGATTTGATCAAATCCACAGACATAATGGAGAGCCTGCTAATTAGAATTTGCATATGAGTTTGAGAAACCTATCGCATGAATTGTATTAGATTATAATATAGAAAGCCAATGTGACACTCCAGGCAGGGAGATACGGTGAAGAAGTTTCTCTTAAGTAAACTTTTCTGTGTTTTCAGAGACTGCCTGGGCAAGACTGGCACAGAAGCAGAGATCAGTGCAGCAGAGATCAGTGCAGTACCAGTATTTTTATACTGGAGATAGTATAGAAATATGCCAAGACGTGCTCTGATGTAATTACAAGCAAATAGAGTCCATAGGAGCTTACTTATATGCAGCAAGCAGAGCATTTTCAACAGGTTGCTGTGCTTCCTTGTTTACTTATTTATATATACAGACAAAGGAAGTGGTAAGGCTGACTAGCTGACAACTTTTCTGAGAAGAGACCATTTTGTATTAGAGGAAGCAGTAGCTCTCTTGGATGTGCTAACAACGTGATTCTGAAATAAAAAGTCTGCTAAAGAGAAGGAGCTGGGCATTTATTTATACGTGCTGGAGGTGATCACACACAGGGAATACATGGCAATTTCATTGACACTACTGGCATGAACATTCTCTAGCTGCCTGAAAGAGAAAACTTACTTACAATGGATTTGAGAAACATTCCCTATCGTTCAGACGTGGTTACCTGGAACCCGGATGACTTAGCAGAATATTTTAAGACGGTGAGTTTAACTGTGTTTTGTCTTTGTATGACAGAGGAGCAAACTACTGCGAAATGTTTATGCTAAAGATAGATTTTTTTTAACAGAAAAAGTTTGTTGCAAAAATAAAACCAAAAACCACCACCAATTAAGAAACTGAGCTAAACTTGGTAGTAAAACCTATAAATGAATCTTGAAAGTGTATTTTAAATTAACTGTAAGAGAAACTGATGGCTTTGCAGAGCAAATGCACACACTACTATAACAATTGTTGATAAAACATAGATGAAGGCTGTAAAATACATTAATGTGTAAAGATTACAAGCTTTCTAGGTCTTCTTCAATGATTTTCAGAAGTGAGATTTTTCAAATTGCTCGATGTTCACAAATGAGATTCTGAATGTCTTTGCTAATCAAGGCATCCATATGAACTCAGCCAGGAACTCAGCAGATGTGGATACAAGAACTCCTGCGGGTTTTTTAGGGTCAGTGTGAAAACCTTTTGCCTTGTGGTTCTAGTTTCCTACTTGAAAACTTCCTGGATGAAACTCATGGGTCATTTCCTCACTTCTCCCCTGTTTATGAGAGAGCTTTTCATCAAGGTTACTAGCCACCCCTTTTCTCCCCTCACTGTTACTTTTTCTGAAATTACCTTGTGTGGTCAGCTAAGGACTTCTGCTTCTTTTAACATACCTTTCACTGGTGAACAGTTCTAAATTTCATTTTACAAGGTGGAGGATTTTCCACAGTTAAGAAATACTTTCAAAGGTAATATGGCAATTCAGTGTTAATCTTCTACATAGCAATGCTGACACCATTGTAATTGCTCAGGAATGTGTAACTGACTCAATTTTACTGAAATTTCATTTCTATATGTTCTCTGCAAATTCATCGTTTTTCAATTCACATAAGAGAGAGTGCCTTGTCTATCTCCCTCCTCAAATCCAAAACTGTCAGCTTGGAATTTAACATTCAGATCAATCAAAAGATTTGGGAACATTTTCAAGCAATGTGAGCATACATGTGTTCATTTTCAAGTGAGCTATCAGACTAGTCTTGGGGGGAAAAAAAAAACAGGGTCACTTCAGGGTTTGCCACTGAAATCATGCAAAATTCATGGTTTCAACAGTTTTCGTAGTTTTCTTTGGGGAGTTGGGGCAAGTTTGAAACTAGAATGCAAAACTAGGCAGCAAACAGATCAAACAAAAAAATCAGTATTTGCAAAATCTCCAGAGAAGTGAAACTGCCAGCTATCTGCAAACCTTTAATTCCAGGCACAGTGGTTAGCAGCACAGTACAGTGGAACAAAGAAGCAGAGATAGAGCAGATGAGCTTATTACCAACAACCAATTGCAGATGAATAAGGAAGACATTACAGCATTGGTGCATGGTGGTTTGGATCACCATTTCCAAGAGACTAACAAAAGAAATGGCTTCCTGAAAGAGCTACTAATGATTTTCTTAGCAGCAATACAAGGATCAACTCTAAGTTCTATCATAATTGGTACACGGGTTTTTGAGTACCTCCCCTTTATTGATGCACAGACACCCTCCAGGATAGAGGTAATGTTAGCATTCCTCTTTTGGACAGGAGAATCAGGGCCAAGAAAAGCTACTCAAAGTCTTATAGGAAATCTGTCAGACAATGATGTCAACCTAAGTTAGACAAGTCCGGGCTAAGTGACCAGATCCTTCTCCCCAAATTAACCCATACCATTTCCCTCACACATAGATTAAAGGGTCCAGTACTATACCTTAACAATGTTTTATTTTCATCTGACTGATGTATTTTGCCTTGGAAGTATCCTGCAGCCCCATGTTCAGGACTTCAGTTCCAAGAGGGATGAGCAAATCTTTTCCTGCTGCACTGAGATAATTGAGGGATGATTTTCAAAGGAGGGATGATTTTCAATCAATCAGTCACATTCAAGTCCACCATCACCTAACAAAGTGATCATGTGGTCATGTCACAGGGCAGTGGAAGTTAAGACCTTTGTCAATTCTGGTTAGCAGTTGCTCGTTGCTGCTGTCAGGATTGTGCTGGCGATACTGTGATGGTATTCACTATATGAAAGAGTTATTATTTATAGGTTTAAATCTTCAGTCAGCACAAGTTTTAATATGCATTTGAAAATGTTTAGCAGAGTTAGGTCTGTTTCTGTATATGAGTAACTGAAGGTGGCTCCCATAAACTCTCAGCTGTTCAAATGTTTCTAGGATCTGGTCTCAAACAACAACTAGTTACAAGATTTAATTGTACTCCTTAAAATTGACTAGAATAAAAAAAAAAAAAGAAGAAGAAAGGACATAATGTTCCCTTTAAGACTCCCAGCAGTACAAGATCTGTTAGCTGTATAACTTTTGACTAGCTAAAGCCCCAGACGAGGCTGTAGACATTCTTTTATTTTGAGAATAAAAAGTTCTCCCAAAAGTCACTTTGCCTACTCTTTGGGTTCCTTCTGCCATGGACTTACCTACTTGAAACAGAAGAAATGCCTTCTAGCCATTATATTTAATGTATTTAATCCCTTAGAGATCTAAAAGATAAGCTGTTTTCTTACATGATGTTATTTCAGTTCAAATCTAAAACTTAACACACCCACTGGAAATAGTTAAAAGTCATGTACTTCCAAACGTGGCTATTTTATTTTATTTCTGTGAGTCCCTCAATTTACATTTAAATTTTATCCGAATAGAACCAGGAACTTTCTTGTTCCTAAATATGTGAAAATACACTGAAGGATCTTTGTCTTAACAATCCATGTTTACGGACCAAAATGAACCATTTAGACAGTCCAGCAGGGTATGGAAAAACATGAGGTTATAGCATCTAAGTGGGGGTCATGAACTGTAGATCTATCTGTTTTTATGAGTTTATCCCAAGGAAGATTAAAAAGTATATTGTTCACTAATGTGATCCCCACGACAGACAAGACACAGTAGGCTCTCGCATACACGAGGCTAATTTGAAGCACCTACTCAAAGTTAGCCATGTGGATGAGTGCCTTAGTCCATTCTTAAGTGTGCAATAATCATCTTCCTTTCTTTGGCAGTTAAAGTACAAGGATTGTGAGAAAGTCGTAAGAAAGCACAGTATAAACGGACAAAGGTTTTTGGTAAGTAGAGTTGTAAAATTCTTTAAATCAGGTCATTGTTCTGACCCTTACTTTGGATCAGCATTTCGCTTCTAGATAGTTAATAAGGTCTAAATATCTGGATATAGATAGAATATGGAATGCTGGGAACCCAAGAATGTTGTTCAATATGTATGTATTTTAGTATCTTTTAAATGGACAGGGAAGCTATAAAGCCATAATATTGCCTTGAATTAATAATCTCTTTCTTTATAGGAAATGCTTGTTTTCAAATATTAACTAGAAAAACCTCACATTTATCAATTCTGTTCTCCTACCAAAGAAGAGGCGGACAAGGCCAGAACAAGCGGCCTTCTGCCGAAGTCACTATGACATGCCTCTAGAGTTAAAATAAGTTCTTCTGCAGCAACACACAAGCAATAAACTGTAACTGCATCAAAAATAGTAAGCAAGTTCCCATTGAATTTAAATCAACATTGCTATAGGGAAGCTAATATGCATGGTCCATGCTGTACCAGTGACCTGGCTTAACTTTAGAAAAGCTGACAATTTCCATTTATACAGCTGCTGTTTTCAGGTCTTAGGTATACATCCATAAAGATGTGTAAAGGTTTTTATCATTATTTCATTTTTTTATTTCTATTTTTTTTCCAAATTTATTATTTATTCTATTCGATTTTCCAAAAAGTCCACATTTTGATCAGCTGTCCAATTAGTCACAGCAGATAAATTGATGCACATTTCTTTTACAGCCCTCTTATCTTTTATTCACTTGTCCTAATATATCAAGTTTTTTGACATTTCTTAGAAATGTAGCATTAAACTTTTTCACCATCTCTAGTAGGCACAGGATTACCACCCTCCCCAGTCGGTGGAGTCAGAATGATTCAGTATGTCACAGGATTTATTGCACTAACCACTAAGAGATTCTCCTTAACTCAAGCACTGAGAATCTGCGGCTGGAGTGGGACTTCTGGCTCTGGAAACATTATGAAAGCCTGGAAGCGTGTGAGGTGCAAATGACAATAGCAATAGCTGTGCAATTCCTAAGTGATTTTGAATTTCTCTATTGTTTCCAGGGTGTTTCTATAAATACTTAGCTTAGAGTGCAGCATTTCTTCAGAAACATCCTAGCAGATTCAAAGGATGCTTTTCTGTTAAGTAGGTAGCTGCTCAAGTCTGCTGAGACAGTTGTTTTTAAGCTTTCGAATTACTTGACAATTGTATAACACAAAAAAGGTTCACTCATGCCATAGAGCAATAGGAGAATTTAAATGCAATATTTCAGAGTGCAATGCAATCTTGAAAAAATAATTGTTTCTCTATACGATTGACATTTCTGAGAAACATCTTTTGCCATCTTTAAGCGACTGGAAACTGCCAAATTACATTTGGACTTGAACGGTTAAGATTTGAGTGTTTGCAAGTTTTATATCCACTGTTAGATCTACACAGTGAACCTAACTGCAAAAATAGTACCGTCTTCTTCAACAGAATAGCTTCCCAGCTTCAAAGTCACATTTCTGTTTCTACTGCCTACCGCAATGAAAGTCCAGTTGAAACATAGCTGGGATAAAATCAGAGAGATTCCACATAACTTAATCTAATAACATTCTCTAAGATTTAATAGAGCAACGTGGCCTTTTTATGAGACCACCCGTATATAACACACAACCCATAAACCCATAACATTTGTCAGGTTTATCACCAGAATAGAATTCTAGAGAGAAGTTTAAAAAGTCTTTAGAAAAAATAAAGATTCTCAGTAAATACTGCAGGACATTTCCATAAAGGGAGTACTTTTTTACAGTGTTTTCCTCCTGTGAGTACTCCCAGAGGAAAAATAGCATCTGAAAACACAGCTTGGATTTGTTCTGTCCTGAAAATCATTGATAGCATTGTGAACCAATGTGTAATTAGAAACTTCTTACTGCTGGCAGTGAGAAAGACGAAAAGAATCCGACTGTCCTCCATGTTCCAAAGAGGGTTTGCGAAGCTTGTGATTAACTAAAGCAAACACTTCCTCAGCATTTCCACAGTGCACTGATCTGATCTAAGCTTGGAGCCACACAACAGCACAGAACAGGAGAGAGGCCGACTGTTTTTGCTGGAGCAGCGGTAAAGCTCTCAACGCTCAGCACATCTCGGCTCAAGTCAGGACCAATCTGCAATGTAATTGCTATTTCATGGCAGAAAGGGGAACAAAGCCTCCATTTCTAAAAACATTTTTTTAAAAGTAAAAAGCACACGAGCTTTTGCCTTGATCATTTGTCTTCGTTTAAGCTTTGTCAGGCTGCCAAAGCTACTCTCTTAAGTCCAGGGAATCCTCCAGCTGCATCAGAGCAGTGGCACTCTTGGGGTTGTGCTAAGAGTGTTGTCACAGCAGTTAACAATTCAAATTGTGTAAAATCTCCACTAGAACATGTCATATGACGTATGCTGTGATGTTAGAGAGAGGGTTCTTATCACAAACTCTCTTCTGCTCCAGCAAATCATGCCGCTATTTAAAAGCTGACAATTTCACACAAACTTTGTGATCATGCACAATTTTGCGTGATTTCTTCACACAGACGTGAAGAAATATAACGATATTTAGCCTGGAGTTTCTGAAGTCACTTAAATCCTAGATTTTTAGCAATACTTAAAGGGCGTGAAACAAAATAGCCTAAAATGAGTATCTACTGTACGAGTCTGCCTTCCCTACCAGGAACAGTTCTTTACAAACAACAATTCCCTCACACATTACTTTTAAAATTACAAAGGTTTATAAAAAGCATTTGAAATATTCTTTTAGCGCTTACTGAGACAAGGATAATTCCAAAATTGCCAGGAAGAGTGCTGTAGTCATTAATCACGATTACAAGAGACCACGCATGTTCTGTTGAGCTCGCTTCCATAATCGTTTGGACAGGATCTCATCAGGAGGTAGCTCTCTATTAATGGTGTGACATTGTCTACTCAGGTGAGTTATAATATGTCAAGACATCTTTAATAATAAATCTATAAAAGATACGTTTTTCTATATGATAGATAAATAAGGGTGATGGCAGTGTACAATGAAAACCAATATCCAGAAAGCATGAGAAAGAAAAGGGGAGAAAAAAATAGAAGATTCTTCAATTAAAAATAGTTTGAGGATTTTTTGTTTTACTGTCTATTTGCCCACTTTAGCTTAAGTGTCTCTGACAATCTCTAGGGAGGTGGCCATCGCAGGGGAGGGTTTTATTTCCAGTTCTTTTGAGAGGCAGACTCTGAGCAGGGGTGGATTTTAACCACGCCTGTAGGTTGTTGTGACAATACGACACCAATAAAGAACTGGATTAGAACCCAATTCAGGAAGGCAAATGGCTTGACTTTAACTTTTCACAGAGTCCCATTAATTTCAAACTAATCCTGGAAGAACAGTTCATATGCCTGTAAACACATCAATTTACCGTGCTCTCCCGTGATAAGGGAGAGTCTAAGATACCACTTCTCCTCACCGATCATTCTTACCATATATCCTTTAATCATCCTAGCTACAGAATACTTCTTTCAAGTTAGAAACATGATTAACTACTTTGTTGAAGAAATTTGTGTAAACAAATACCCATAATGTTTATTAACATCCTAGCTATCTGAATACAACTGACGGCAGCATAAAGCGAAAACCAACTTCCAGTAAATCTGAGAGAAAATTTATACAGGCCTTTTTAATAAAATGGGTTCACGCCTCTTATTCAAGCTTTTTTTACCAAGCGGGCCATGGAACAGGCAGGCTGCTCTATTGCGTTACTTTTCTACGTACTTTACATTCCTATCAGATGAAAATTCATGCCATGTTTTTGAATATGCAAACTTTTGTAAGTCACAGGTTATTCCATGGACAATTTTGTAATACATACCATCTGTTTCCTTTTCAGAATATGTCTGAAAATGATATTCAGAAATTTCCCAAGCTCAGAGTACCGTAAGTAAATCCAAACCAATGTAACATTAAAAATTATCTTAACTGGTCTGCAGTAAAAACCAATAGTAAACATCAGACAAATGATTTGAACTGATTAGTTAGAGACATGCTCATTGTACTTTACTAGAAGAAAAAGGAGGATGTTCTTAAATAGAAACAAAAGAGTGCTGTCATTGCTGCTCAAGCACAATGATGCAATACAAAAAAATTGTCTGGGGATGAACTGGTATTACCTCATTCCTACTCAAATTATTTGACTGACAGCAGCCACACCAAGGCTAACCTGTTTGAGGAGTATTATATCAGAGTATTATATCACTGTTTAACTGTTGACTTTCACTCAAAGGAAAAAAATGTCAGCTACGTATACAAGGGTTAAAGAGTTCAAGCACTCTTCATCTCATGCTTTTCCCTTTTAGTTAGGCATTAAAAATAAATCAGACTGGAACTTCTGATTCCATGTTAAATAGCTTCCTTGGCACCTGTGGGTTAGGCCTTGAAAAAGTTTTGAACTAACCTGAATAGTTTTCGTAATTTCATAGCAAGCTATTCATGAAGAAAAACATTCCCATTATGTTAATAGAGTAACAGAGAAATTAGCTTCTACTAATGTTTCATGGTGAAAGATGGAGTTTATTTTGCTGTGAGTCTTGTAGTATATATGTGAGCTGCAAGTTAGAAGGTTTCTAACCATGAGCTACATGGAGCTCTTCATGGCCTTCTAATCAATGGGACAGGAACTCAAGTTGTTTCAACATTGCTGTTCCTTTGTTGCTCATCTCCCAATTCTAGGCTCCTTCCCTCTCTACATATCTTGATCTTGATAGGGAGACACAGTCTGCCTGTCTTTTTCTGAAGCATCAGAACTTGTTTTAGATGTGTTGGTGAGGCTAAGGACACTGAAAAATTCTAAAACACCTGTGTGGTCTATCGTGTTCATGTGCTCAAGGTTAAGCTGGTGGCTAGATTAGAGGGAGGAAGATGCCTCTTTTTGGATCAGATCTGCAGGAACTTGAACTCGAAAGCCTCGGACATGATGTGTTTCTTAAGATCATATCAGTATTTTCACAGAATAAATGTCATGATAACGGGGATTGGTGGTGCGTGATGTGATAGCAGAGGGCCCAGATGTTATTGTTGACATTTCTGAACCTACTATCAGTTAATAGCAACATTTAATTGTGGTTATTGAGATGGTGAGGGACCAGAGTTAAACCAAGTTGTCTGTGACAAACTGACATTACCATACTACTAAATACCTTGTCTATAATTCTCTGATGATTTGTCTTTCACAGTCTTTTGGTAAAACTGACTTGTGTTCTTCCTGTTTTAACTTTTAATTTTGAGGACCTTTAGTGACTTCCTTTAAAGTTCATAAATAAAAGTGGTCAGTGGAATGTCTTAAAAACACGCACAGACAAGAGATATTAATGTCATAGGTGAATAGCTAAAAGTCAGATTAAACAATGTGGAGTTGCTCCTAAATCCTCTTCTAATGCATTGACATCTCAAAAAATTGTTTGAAAATTACATTTTCATGGTCCACTTACCTTGTAACACTCTGGTAGAAAGTGAACAGCCTTGCCTAGTATGATCTTTCGGGCTTCTCACTAAGGTCCTAAATCAGGGACTTGAAAAGAACAGTGAAGCTCAGCGCACTACTTGGAGAACTCAATAAACGAGTAAAATTAATAAATCTGAACAAAAGTTGTAGAACTAATAGGTTTTAAATTCACTGTATAGCCTTCGTTCTTATTTCATTTCTTTGTCTATAGAAATTAAGCTCCTTCAGCTGGTCCTTCTTACCTACTTATACCTCACCTAGTAGACTAGAACAAATAATGGAGTAATTATAAAATAACATTAATTAGGAATACAGTTTTGTGTTCATAGTCCAAATAGCCATATACTTAAGGGCTACATGGAAATATTTTGAATATTCCACAACTTTAATGTCACAATTTCACATCAGCAAGATCAACAAAGGGAGCAGTAGTAGTCAACCTACAGGAGGGGTAGGACCAAGTTCCTTGAGTTATATATCCATACTACTTACACCAGCCACATGTACCTCTAGTGCACTTGTTCTCAGCTTTCTCCGCACTTACTGACAGGGAAGTAATGCCCTAGTACATTGTGAATATGTATGAACAAAGGACAGCGTGATGTGGAATCCTCCCTACATTCCACTGTTTAATAGAAGAATTTAGAGCTTTAATAGGGAACAGAACTAGTTGCCATTTGAAAAATAGACTATGGGGCTACTGCTCTTTCTAATAGTGATTTCATTACTTTGGAACCTCCTTGCTCTCACCAAAATGGAAAGTGCTTGCTGCTGGTTTCTATTAGAACACAACCATGCCTTAAACTTTTACATCACAATGCAAACCTCCCCTAGCAGGAGTTTTTCCACAGGCAGAAATATATATTAGTATATTGTAATTACAGAACCTGGTCTGCCTAATCACAGTGCTGAAATCCGAGCATATTCTGTAAAAATGCCTCGGTTAATAATAAGTTTCACAGTGATAGCATTGTTCAATGGAATGAATAAAAAGCACATATATATACAAGCCATATTGTTACTCAATAACTCTAGCAGGGTTATGATGACTCTTATGCGGTGAGAACAGAACTCAGCACTTGCAACTGTACAAAGTTTGATAACCACAGCCTATATCCATACCGGCTTCCTGGCTTTACTAAATAAATATATTTGAGGAAATCTGCTTATCAAGTTTGGAATATAACTGTGCCATTGCTTGGGTATGGTTCTGCAACTTTCACGGGAACTCTGCAGTGTCTAAGTGGATCACAGTTGTCATTAAAAAGTATGAGGGGTCACTTACTGAAACTAATAAGAAACACAACTTTATTTTATTATTAACAGAATTGGGATTTTGAAGGTTAACCTCCTCCAGCCATGTCATAGTTGCACACCTTCATGAATCACCCTGTAGCTTATTTTTAAAAATGAGAAAAGCATTAAAATACTATTTTGAAAATTAAAATACTTTATCAAATCTTTAGAACTCTCTGTTAAAAGGGTGTAGCTCTCTACTGAAAACTTTGCCAATAAATTGTGTTGTTTATATAAGAAGCAGAATTGCACCATGGTGGTTAATATGTGTTACTATACTGCATGTTGATAGATTAGAAATTGCTCATCTGTCATTTCCAATATCACATTCAAGGAATTACAAAATTTCTCCATTAGCAGAAGTGAGGCTACAGCAGAGCTGGGGCCTGCCCCATATACAAATGACTGTGGCATCAGGCCAGCCCTGCAAGTTTTAGTCTGGCTAATGTTGCACAGAGAAAAGGATTAAGGTAAGTTTGCACAGGATTCCCTGCACCTGCACAGGCCACACACGGATTTCTTAAGGGATCATAACATAAGCTCTACAGTAATGATTCCTGTGCTTGTGGGTGGTCACCACTTGATTTTCTTGTAGACCTGCTAGACTCTGCCAGTGATGCTCAAGACTCACACACAAGGTGATCTCTACTGGCATGGGTAAGGAAATCTATGCCGTATGTCCAGTGAGGCATTGTAGCTTGATGAGGACAGAAAATGAAGACTGAATGAAGACTGATTTCATCAGCGTAGTTGAGAGGGTCAAAGATAAAAGTTGTCTTCACGTCTGAGCTATATCAAAAGTTGCGCCAAACAGAGCATTAGATGACTGGAAACCCACATGCCATCCTTTCCTCACAGTATCTAGGCCTTTAAAAAAAAAAAAAACAACCAAATTTTGACACTATTATACTGTTTCTGTCTTCTTCTGATAAATATAAAGTTTATACACTCATTCAGAATATCTACCATGATAGTGATGTCACTCTTTGGAGCCCTGAGACCCTTTACACGCATTGCTATTAAAGCAGACTTAGGCAGAAGTTTAGAAAATTCCCTTTGCTTAATGCCGTATTTTGATTAAACACGCAACCCTTTTTTTCATTCCGACTTACGTATACACTGGATTCAAAGATCTAGCTCAGGCCCCAGGCCCCAGAAGGGCAAGGCAGAGTTCAGCTCTGCTCACTACCTAACTTTCGCCTTTTCCTTTGGAGGAGAGAGGAGGTGGAAAAAGCCACTCGGTCTTTGCGAGTTGAACTGCTCTGGGTAGAAGGGGGGAGTGGGAGCGAAGAGACTCTTTGACTGTCTTAAGGCTTCAGCTCAGAAGGCAGCACTTGCACACATGCTGAACTTCAGGCATCTGCTTCAAGTGATTTGATGAACTGGAGCCATAATGAAATCTCATATATTCAGTTTGATATTGTAATTGCATAAACATATGAACAGCTTCATGTAAATAAATACAGAATCAATAGTGATAGTGTATATGATAATATTGGTAACACAGGTGAATGGCTATAAGAGTGATGAAAGTTTAGGGGTGGGAGTTTTTTTGTTTTTTGTTTTTTTTTTAATTTAATGAACCACTATGGTAACCTGAAGTTCAGGGTTAAGGTTTCATATAAACAAATCAGAAACCACACATTCAGGTAAGAAACAGCCAGTTACAGCATCTAGGCAGCCTTGACTACGCCTGAAGTAATTTCCTCCAAAATCACACCAGATAGCATCACAAATTGATTAAAAGCATTTAGGTATCTGAGATTACCAAATCAGTGTGAATTGATTTTAAGAAAAGCCCATGGCTTTCTACGTGTCCCTTCCAAAGAAGATGATATAAGGCAGTTGTATAGTAACTTTTCTATAGGTAACTATTTATTTATAGCAATGACCAATTTTTCAGACTCGGTAATATTTTTTGAGGACAATCACTAGCTAATTACGATTTTGTAGATCTTTGTGTGAAACTATATCATCATCATGAAGTCCATCATAACAAATATTCTGTATGAAATTTCCTAATCCTAACTAAACATTCAGAAGAAAATGCCATCACATAATATTTCTATGATTTGAAGATACAGAATGTCAGCTTTAAATCACTTGCTAAAAATTAACTTCTAGGAACAGTAAGAATATATCTTAAGGATCTAAGAATACTGGCCATTCTATGAAAAGAAATATGTATATCTGTTCTGGTAGATGTAGGTCTACTATGGCACTATGATGAGCTACATTTGAAGACCTGATATTACATGTAATTACATGTAATCAGACGTGGTAGAACCTAGTCCCCAACTTCCAGACCATGAAAAATTTTCCCTACCTCAGTTCCCCACAGATTTAGTGGCAATCCAAGAGATGTTCATCCATTATCCCCAGACTTACCACACTGCTGCAAACCTTTCAGGAGCAGCCACATTTCGGCCAAGTAATCTATTGGTAAAAAATACCTATCACATCTTTTTTTTTTTCCTCTTTTCCACTGTGAAATTAAAATAAATAATTGTTGCATGAACATTAGCGTTAGAGGTTGGATTCCCATAAATGTAGTCGTCATCCTAAATAAGAGATAGCGTAGAAGTTGACCTAGCAGTTAGTTAAACCTGTTACTATTAATAGCTTAGCTCAGGTGCACCTGTTTTCTTCAAACATACACTATGCTTAACACTTGGCATTTTTGTAACATGAAAAGATGTCAAAAACTGTAGCGTTGTATTTTTTGCTGGGCTCATTCATATTACTCTTCTACCTGTCACATTTTATAAAAGATCCATTTAAGTCAATTTTAATAGCCTTCAATTAATACGTACCCGAAACTTCACAAACAACACACAGCATCCTTAAAGAGTAAATGGTATATTGGCAGAATGGAAAGGGGATATATTTTACACAGAGCAGACATTGAGTATCTGTCCTAAGTGCAAAATAGAACTGGTATCAAATCACAATGATGCAATCAACATTTGTTAATAAATCTAGTGAAACAAAAGGCCAAGATATAGCCTAAGGGACACATGTAGTTGTTTTCTTATTGCTCGTTACCACTTCTGGTACTTATAGAGCGTTATAAACATTCATACTTGAAGATAACAAACAGGAGTCCTGCGAAATATTTTAGAGTGCTTTCAACAAAACATGCCGTACTTAATGCAGTCAGAATTAATAAATAAGCAAAAAAAAAAGATCTCACTCACAACTAACTTTGGTGGTTGGTTGATATCTGAACCATGATCTAAACACTGAACTTTGCCACTCTTTCTGTTTAGTTCAGTAAGTCAAGGTACAGACACTTGACCCCTTTTGCTATCTTCAATGGTAGGCTGATGCCAAATCTGAGATTTGAAAATTTCAACTTTGGTCAGAAAGCTTACAGAAAATCCTGTAGCACTTGTGGAAATTCTCAGTAATAAAAAGAGTAATAAAAGAGCCTCACTTGTGCTAATGTATATAATTGCACCTGCCAGTTGAGACACAGTGAATTCAGAATTCAGTGAGTTCTGAATGGGGCACGTTCAGAGCCTGCAAACACAGCACTGTCTGAGAGTCATGCTGCTTTCAGGAGAGTCAAGCAGTGAACCTAAAAATTAAGGAATCTATAATGACCTCTCTTTTAAAATTGTATGCCTTGGGCGTAGGTGAATTTGCATGCACACATGCTCTCTAGGGTGGGATGCTAGAGAAGGATGTTAGCTTTGCAACTTAACTGAAATTCAGTCAGTTTTGAATCTAAAATAGTGTTGCATCTGCCCAACAGACTTTTCTCAAAGACCAAAACAACGGAGGATTAATCTCAAACCATGCTCTTGATAGCGTTCCAGAGATGTGATTTCCTGGTCCTAGAGGACTTTGTCTTGCATCTCTCTCACCCATCTTAACTCCTTTGTTCCAATACATGTAGAACCCTGTTTGCCTTTAAGCAAACAAAAGCCCATTCTGGAGTACTGTTTTGGGTTGTTTTTTTTCTTTTCAACTTCCTGACAGTTTTAAGCTAAGCGTCTGGTGGAGGAGGCAGAAAGAGAAAGAGAAGTCTGTGAGTAACATTTTCTGCAAGTGCTGTTGCATAGCCTTATCCTGTCCTATCATCCACTCCCACAACTCAGAAGGCAGTGTGGTTTTGGTACTTCCTTCCTCACTGAGCTCAGATGCAGCTGCTAAGTGCACAAATCTTCTGTATTGATACTGCCTGTAAAGAGCCACCACACTAAACTTCACTTTCTTTTTTTCTAATATATTCTCTGGCTTGAATCATTTTAAATAACCTTGAAGTGAAGATTAGACACCGTTATCTGAAGCAGCAAGTGATTAATTTTTTGGCAGCAGGACATTATGAAAGATCCTTCCTCTCCCTCTCTATTAATATAATAGAGAATTAGCCTCATACAAGTTCCTTAATCTACTTCTCACTCAAAGCACAGGTCTACATAGCACATGCTTCACCTCTAAATATTTCCTGGTGTTTCAGCATGGAATTTGTGTTATTCAGGGAACCACAGAAGAAAAATGAACACAGCAACTTCCTTATCAGCTACAGCAGAAGGAAATTTCTTGTGCACATGAGTGTGGATGAATTGTATGGGAGAGAAGCTCAAGACCAGCCCTATGCCTATAACATGGCATTTTTCTTGCTTTGTATTTATTTGCTTGGGTAGGGATGTCAGATTTAAACAACTGTAATCCTTCTTTAATTATTAACATTTGCTCCTGTTCTTATTCCAAAAGGGGAAAGTATGACAACATTTGCTCAAAATCAGAAGACTCCAAAGTGCCGACTTAAAAAGGAAAACTAAAAATATTAAGTTCTTCCTCTGCCTTTCTATTTTCATACCTGGATACTTGAGTACTTGTGCTTACCCTCAAACTATCCACCTCAATAATTTTCAGACAGCATCATCATACTGATTTGAAATTGCTTGTCATCTCACATTTGTTGGTAGCGTGATCTGCCTCCATAACACTTTCCAGAATCAAACAGAGCACCCGTCTGCCGTAAATTTATCTTTAATCTGAATTACACTAAACTAAGTACTAGGAAAGTAACAAGAGCAAGCGAAGGCATATTCAAGAAAAAAGCAAGATGGTTAGAATGGTACAGGATATAAAAAAACCCCACAGTTTGTTGCTGGAGGTTTTAAAAAATATTTTAGGCCTTGAAAGCTTGCTTTACTCATGTCCCAGCCCACGGAGTGAGTCCAGTTAGACATGAAAGAGATTCACAAATGGGGTCATTTGGAAACACTTAGGGGATCATTGTTGCTGAGCAGCAGCAGAGGATATGAAACTGGAAGAAAAACAAAATGAATTGCCAACCACCTGTCAATTGCCTGGTCATAATGAAAGATTTTACAATACTGCTATAAAGTTGATTGGCTGGATCTAAGATCGATGGAATATATTTTGCACAAACAAACAAGAAAGTTAAAATTTTACAGAATTTAGAATATGATGTAAACAGACATCTTCAATTCCTGATTGGTTTTGATAACATTTTTATATTCACAATTACAATGTCTGGTAGTCCTAAATAATATAAGCTAGACGTAAAATAGGGTATTTTTAACAAGATATGTGTAACTAACTTGCTTTAGATGTTATGGGACTTTCTTAGTGGGACTTTCCTCACAAAAAAATAATGAGAATTAAGAGTTGGATCATGACTCATCATAAGATTTCTTTGAAACAAAAACTGTCTTTGAAACAAAATAATTGTAGAGGCCAACTTCATTACTAGCAGAGCAAAGTTCTGTTGCTCTCAGCAGACTTAATTCTGCTTACCTCAATAATGCCTGTGTCCTATACGCTTAGATTTCTCAGAAGTCAGAGAGTATAAAATCCCTCACTCTCAGGCTCTGTGGATGCCAGCATTAATAGCAGCATAAGCAAAGTACAGTATTTGAGTGCATGCTCCTGGCTGAAATTTCACTCAAGACTGTATTTCACTGATTGCCATTCGCCTCAATGCTGTGCACAAGCTATGCATGAGTGATGACAAACACATCAACTTGGAAAAATCTTTCTAGACAAAGCTATAGTCTTCATATGTTGCCTTTCCCTGCAAACGGGATATAACATGAAACTAAATCTTTCACCTTCTTTACTAGAGGCATTCCAGATTAAGTATATCTTGGTTATAAAGAGAAGTAGATTAAATAGAAAAGGCAGTAGAAAAAGGGTGCTTTTAATCCCTGCTTCTGCAACTATAGGCTTGGAAAAAGATGCTTCCTGAAACATTGGTTTTTCCATGCAAAATAGCACAAATGTAATCAGCACTATTTAAAGCACTGTTCTAGTGCATGACGTCTCCCGTACCCAAAGCTTTTAAGATTTCCTGCTTTTAGTGTTGATTTTTAAACTTGATCCAATTATGTGGGTTTTTAAGCTATGTTTAAAAGGTCTAGTTTTCAATTAAATATGTTATACTGCAACTTTACAATAACTAGAGAAATGAACCAGCCTTGCCACATAGTAAATAATAATTCTGAATCACCAGATTTCGTTTAGCAAAAATTGAGAGAAAAGGGGAGGGAAGCAGGTGAGAAAGTGACTGACAAGTTTCAAGGAGACTGTATTTTTCATTTTTTTAAAAACTGTTTTTGTGTTTCTTTTAAACAGGATTATAAGTAAACTAAGCCAGGAAATTAACAGAAATGAAGGAAGGATATCGTTCTTTCCAAAATGGTAGGTGAAAAAATTCAGCTTTCTTTTTCCATGTTTTCACATGTATGTTTTCTTGACTCTCTTCCTTTTGATCAACAATACCTGCATCAAATGGACCACTTGGAAAGTATATAAAATAAAATTCTGTGTTGTTACTCTTTTTAGCTAAGAAGAGTAAAGCCTGAGTCCATGAACACACTGTATACTTCTGCCATGTCTAGAAACAAGTAACACATAAATGTAAAACAACTTTCATCTTGAGTAAATTGATCTTTAGGAATATTATAAAGCCTGGTGCAAATTATTACATCAATGAATCATCACTAGTGCATTTTACAGACCTATATATTACGATGCTACTCTTTGTAATACTTAACTTGTGCGTATCTTTGAAAGTAATATTCTTGCAATAGAAAAATATTGAAAAGTGCAATAACATTGATTCTTCTGGGTGGAATCTTGAGAAAAAGAACCATTTGTATTCATACAGTATGAAGATCTAAGCTATAACATGATTTTATACCCTCTGATAACATCTTTTTACACCTTTGCATTAACAAGATAGTTCAAAACTAAAAGTGAAAACAATAAAAATATCTGTCAAACTCGCGAACATTTATGGACTTGACTCTTCACCAGCTCCAAAGGAAATAGTAAATAAAGTGTCTGTCTTCAGGTCTGGGGCCACTGGTAAGCTTATTTACTGAGTCCCCTTGTTCCCAAGCATTCTATTTCATTGACTTGAAATGTTTTCAAGATAGTTTACACTGCATTAGTATCCTGTATCTGAAATATCAGGTAGCGTGTTTTTAGCATTTTGGGCAGAGTTAAGTTCATCTCTGTACATTTCATTTTATTGTTAAAGCTATCCATGCAACAGACTTTAGTACACATCAACATTTAAGTTATTAAAGTTGGAATGAATTAATTTGTATCTTTTGTTGCAGGGCCCAAACACAAAAGTTTCCTGAAAATCCAGGTAAGTGTGTACTGGCAGGTTGTTTCTAACTACTAATACTGTTTAAAAATATTAAGATATTAAGTTAATCCTTGCAATGTTTACATTCAGTGTCATTGCCATGACTGATATCAACAATTCTTATAAGCTTAGGTTTTCTCACTTATCTTCAACTAAGGTCTGGAACAGTGTATCCGGAGCAACTCTGCCTGGGTAATAAGCCTTTTCAGAACTTCAAGATTAACTGCAGATAAATGAGCTAAATTAGTATTTATATTGGATATAGGATCCAGCTTCCAGATCCAGACATTTCCAACCTCTGAGGCCTGTCACAAACCTTTAGGAGCCTGGGAAACAACACCCTAGCCCACTCCGGTTACAGTGGATATAGAGAGAGATCAGTGTGTGCCAGGTTTGCTTTATTATCAAATCAAACAAAAACAACTAGTCAGGTCTTGAGTTCAATAAAAGTTTTTGTCTTAAAACTTCAGGTGCAACAGTTTTATCAGTAATTATTTGAGAGTGAGAAGTCCTCTGATACTTGGTCTGCCTGGCATTTAATCCCAACTGCCCCTTGTCTACTATGAGTAACTGAATTACAGGCACACATTTCATATGGAATCACTCACTATCATAAGAATGACTGCATTATGTGTGAGAAAAGAAGGTTAAAAGGTAGGTAAAGAACGGTATGCAAGGCAGAAAAAGAGAAAGGAAGGATCAGGAAGAAAGAGAGAAGCCTAGAAGAAGAGAAGTAGGGCAGAGTAAATGGTGAGGGAAGCAGGTAACGAAGAGAACACAAAAAAGTGGCAAAAAGAATAAAAGGTAGTTTAAAGGCAGAGAAGAAAACCTTTTTTTAAAAGAGAAAAGATGGTAAGGCAAGGCAAGAGCAGTGAACATTCCCTTACTGCCTTTGTTTAACCTGATACATAGTATCAGTGCTTATGTATATTTCTGTTTCCCCTACTCCTAGCAGCCCCCAACATTAGAGGCAAGTTTCCAGATGTCTGCCTTGTATTTATTTTTTATTTAAATTATTTTCTTAATGGGCCATGAGCACTTAAACTTCTGCAAGTTACCACTCTTCCCCAGGCCTACTGAAATTAAAACAAAAAATCCACTTTCTCATTTGAAAGCTATAATCGTATTAAACAAAGAGGTAAGAAGTCTGACCTCGTTCTCAAAGCATTCTACTTCAAATGATATTGAAAACTGGAACAGTAGGACAAACTTAAAGTGAAAGCACATATATCATGTTATAAAAAATTACTATGCTCTTATTTTTAAAACACGATGTTCTTCCTCATATCTTTCAAACATCTTTCTTGAGCTACGCATGAATGCTTGCCTTTGTTCAAAAGAAATACACTGTCATGTTGCTTTTTGATATAGTAAGGTTGTACATGCTAAGAAGCCTGTGGTGGTTTCCTCATGCAGGATACAGTCAAGAAGAAGAAGATGACTGGTCTTCATTTGTAAGTATCAGGATTTAAAAAGCCTACTAGCTAAAAAGACTACCTCTTCTTCAAGCTCTGTCATGTCTTGCATTATCTACTCTGATCAGGAGGGAAGGAGCGGGCAATTACAGGAGTGTTAGGCTCTGGAAAAGGAGAAGAAGGAGCATGACTGGCTGGGGCCATTGCATGCCAGTTTCTTCACTAAGAAAAGGGCCTCACCACCAGTAATGCAAGACTGAGTTTCACAACGGCAGTCCTGTACCACTGCCTCGAGTGCTGCCTCACAGCCTATGACCAGCGCTCCCTAGAACTAGAGCTGTACTTCATATTTCTATTTTAAGCTCGTAGAAGTGGTTAGTAAAGGAAAGGTTGCTATGCTATTCAGTGGCAAATCTTGCCACTTTATTACAAATTTTCCATGTTAAAGAATACAATTCCTTGAAGCTGACTAGACAAAATACTTTTTGCCTTTCTGCACAGAAAACACATCAGTAAATGTCATTAGATCAAGCACGCACAATTCAGCTAGCTACATGAGTAAGCTGACTGTTACATAGTCCTGGTTTGTGAAGATCTCTCTCACCAACCATTGCCAATGGTTTCTTTTTGCAAGAATGTATTGGGAGGGATTTTTAGAAAGCACTTACTGCTAAGTTTGCAGGAGCTTTACCATGTTTACCATGTGCTTCAGGAACACTAGCATCACAACCAGCGACCTGTAAAACATCTGAGCTAGGCCAATACAGAGTTCTTCTGGAACTTTCAGCCAAGATACCAGTGACAAATTTAATATTCCTTTATGAGTCATGGTATACTGCACAGAAGATACGGGTAACAACCACTATCATATTTTCACTGTGATTTTACTAAGTCTTCCAAACTGTACAAAGTTGTTTTGATTCTGGTTAGTTGAGGGCACCAAGACCCCTATCAAAGACCTAGTTGTGTCTGAAGTGCTTTCAAGAAATGGAGCTCTGTGCTGAAGTGTGCGTTCTATTAAGTTGGAGTGTGGATCAACAGCTATGAGTTACTGCTCCAGTATATTTCTAGGAAGCACTGAATTGTTTGCTGGTGCCTTAACTCATATGATATCTAAAACCAAGGCACTGTGCATTCTCTGGTGGATACCTCAAAATGAATGAGATGAGAATGACGTGAATCTAACAGAAATGAAATATTTCAATAAGCTACCACTTTAACTTGAGCTTCCACTGCAGTTACTGTTATAAAATGATACTCATGTCCTCTCTTAAGCTGTTGAGTACTGTATGCATTAATAAAATGCTGTCTCATTTACCCACCGCATTTCAACAGATAATTTTTTCTATTCAAAATGGTTTTAAAAACTTGATATCCTCCAGAGTGAAAAATACTACAATAAAAAGCCACAAGGAAATTGCACTGAAGTGTTTAGTATCCTGTTACTGTATTCATCTTTTACGTGCACTGCCCAGGATGAAGATGATGACTATGAAAGTCCTGATGATGATCCGGAAAAGGAAGATGAGGCTGACTATGAATCACCAACAGAAGAACCTGAGGAAGCAGACCATGACAGTGATGGCTATGAGCCACCTCCATCCAATAATGATGAAGCACACCACAACGTCATATTCCCTGCCAAGTCACTTGCAAACAATACAGATTATATAGGTAATTATTAAAAAGTAACTACTATTAATAAATTACAAAGGATGAATAAAAACGGGTTGTGGACACAGACTAGATATTTTAAGTGGCTGATAACAAAACAAAGAAGGTTTCACCTCAAAGTTAACAGTCCAGTTCATAAACGAGATTTAGTGACAGTTCATATTGGTGGCCTTGTGACTTTTAAAAAGTTAAATTTTCTACTTCAGACAACCTCTGTTGGTTTCAAAGTTTGTTTTCCTGTGATGTGTGCATTATTTGGTTATTTCATTTGGAATCTGCACCAAGTAAAACACATGTGTGTACTGTATTAGCTTTAGTAGTTGTCCCTTAGACTGAATGAAGTGAAAATCAGCTTTCTCTGCTTGTCATTTTTTCTGTCTGATTCTTCAGTAGTCTGCAGCTGTGGAGTCAAAGACATCTCACCACCAAAGGGACATATAAGCCTTTAACTCCAAAGAAAATACCGATCATAATGCAATTGTCCATTATGTACTAAAATAATGTTCTGATGATATATTAACTTAAGTATGCAGCTTACTACAAGGCCTCTTCTTCATAGAGACCTAATGAGAATAAAATAACCAAACTGTTTGAATATTTGTTTAGTTTGTGAATTTTGTTTTCTTTAGACAGACCTTCAACAGCTAGATCATCAAATCAGCCTCCAATACCACCCCAGCGACCTGGCCCTTCCCCTGTACCAGCCCCACCTGGGGGACGAGGTGCTTCTGTATGTTTCTTTCTAAATATTTCATCAATTTCCTTTGCTAGTAGCTCCTAGGAAGTCCAAGTGCAATATCATTTTTATTCAGATTGTGTATGTAGAGGAAGGAGAAACTGTTTCAGCTGTCAAAATGGATGACTCCTGTTACACTGTGGTCTTTTTTCATCAAACAAGTATATTAAATTTCATGGGGCAAATATATTGAATTATTTCCATATCACTTTGCTCTTTCTTACCCTGAAAATCTGCACCAACTTAAGAATGCCTCTCTGATTTAAATTATAGATTTTTAATAGATCTCTTTGTGTTTCTTTAGTGAAATAGTTGGGGGGGGGGGGGAAGCTTAGCCTTTCAAAGCCCCAAATGACATGTGAATTTTTTCCTTTTTTATATGGTTAAAACTTTAAAGCTGAAAGCTATTTGTACTGTTTTTTGGGCACTAAAGAGTTACTGTATGCCAGCACAGATGGACATCATGATACCTACCCATGTACACAAGTAAAGATAATTTTCAGGTGCAAGAGCAGGCCCTTCAGTCTGACCCATATAATTGGTTCTTTTATGTAAAACACACAGGCCTCTTTTAAGTGCCATGAGTTCTCAGGACAGCTAACCTGTATTGCTGCTCTGTTACTTGGAACAAGAAAGAACATAGGAAGGCATTTGTCTGAAGAAATCTAGGCTTAGGTGCAAACATCCACCATTTTTGCAGCAGCTAACCACACTTTCTTCTGTTTGACCCCAGATCTCCCAATAAGAAAGAATAGCCCTTTCTCCCTCTGTCAGCAGCCTTAATTAATAAGGATTAATGCATATTTCTCAAGTTCAAATTTACATCCAGTAATTTCAGCATCGTATTTCAAAACTAACATCTGCTGCACTGAAGGGGCAAAGACACAACAGCATTGTTGAAGCTCCTCTTTCTTTACTTTCAAATACCCATCCATGTCCTTCCCAGAGCAAGCATCCCACTAGAGTATTCCCTGCAAGACTAAAGGACAGAGCTAATTCTGCATCTGACAAAAAAGCATGTATGTGTAGGTCTTTCTGCTTTGTGCAGAGACCTATTCTTTGTGCTTTACCAGACCAAGATTGACAGCTGTGGTGTGGCACTTTTAATAAAACTAAAATAAAAAGGTGAAGGCACACTTTAACCACATGTGAAATATT